TGCCTATAACCCCATCTTTGGCATTATTGAGCCAAATAATGGGAGTAGGATTTTCCTTCTATATTATCCATCAAGTAAATTATTGAGATGAGCCTACACATATTGGGGATCAATAATGTTATGTAGGAAGTTGACTTGTTCTAAATAAATTAGGATGAGTACAAAAAGACATCTTTGACAAAAGATAAAACAATAGGACCCATTCTTCCATTTTTGGGTGTATTGATAGATATTTTGGATCCCAAATTAATTGGGATCAATGGGGAACCACTCCACATGATATTAGTACCTGCAAGACAAGGAAAATATGTGAGAAGACTCACCTTGGCCGCACCACATGGAGAAGCACTGCCCATGACACAATTGGAATCAAATTTTGGGGCCACCACCACTGTTTTCGCACAAACAGGTGTGCTGTTTTGTCTCCCTTCATTTTGAGAGTTGTACTCGTCCAAATGAGGTGTATAAGGTGTCCTTGGATAGACTTTGAAGTCTATTTTCATAATTGAGTGGTCTCTGTTCGAGAGGAGAGAGTAGTCATCCAAAAATCGATCTGAAGCGAGCAGTGGTCTGTGAACTCGAGCTGTGAGAGTGCTGAGACTGTTTGGTTGATATCTCGAGTTTTACCAATCCAATTAAGGCGTGTGAGATACCAAAAGAAAGCTCTCAAGACGAGGAATCCGTGAAGGTCTGGTTTGCATCAATCGGAGTAGAGGAAGGCTTCCAAATCGTCCGAGCAGAACGCGACCTCGCAGGGACGGATTTACTCTTCTAAGTGAGTTTTTAATCCCAAAACCTTTCCATTCATTTTCCAAATGATATGAACGATTGGTGGGACTATTATACACTACTCCAAGTGTATAAAACATCCCTATTAAGTTATTTTATTGATGTAAAGGTTAGATACTAACCTAGATGCAAATATTGGAAAACTAGGAATCGAGTTAGCCGGAAAACACCCGTTCTAGGGGCTGTTTTCGTATCAACGATTAGGAGTTGAAATAGCAACTTGAGGAAGCTGTTTAACACCCATTTTCAAGCAAGGAACCAGCTCTCAATATTCCTTGTCCGAGGCTTTGGTCATTGGATCGAGAAGGAAGGTTTTAAAGCTCATTTGAGGTGAGGACCGACATCTAGTTGCTTACAACTTGTAGGTTATGCATGAGATTACCTAAATGCTTAAATCATGTTTTTGTGAATAAATATGCTTGAACATGATATGAATGATAAGTAATGGACTTGATCATAAATTGAAACCATATTGATGAATATGGAGTCATGTGAGATAAAAGTATGCTAAAATGGTAAATTGACCTTCCAACTCATGTATGAATGTTATGTGTATGTAAATGTATGATTGCATGATGATGCTTAGCACATGGGAGGCTGCCACATATCTATTGATATGGAGGGGCTACCATTAATGATAAATGAGTTGTAGGAATAATCTTAATAGTATTGTGATGCTAGTTAAGGATTGTTCTAAATGTTGATAGAACCAAACTTAAAGGTTGAGTTTGTTTGTGATGAACTTGAATGAGATTCAAGTGTCAATTGGGAAATCATGGAGTAGGAGATCTATGGTGTGGTTTTATGAAGTAGGAGATCTATGGTGTGGTTTTATGAAGTAGGAGATCTATGGTGTGGTTTTATGAAGTAGGAGATCTATGGTGTGGTTTTATGAAGTAGGAGATCTATGGTGTGGTTTTATGAAGTAGGAGATCTATGGTGTGATTATATGAAGTAGGAGATCTATGATGCGAGTGCATGATGATGTACTCGAGCCTAACTCTAGAAATGAGAAGTTATATTAGGGTTGGACCCTATGTATTGTCGTGACTATTAGTCACGGGGTTTGGGAAATGTTTTATAACAAACACGGGCCTTTGAGCCGACTACTTGACTTTATATAAAGTAAGTATGTATTTTGAAAGGGGTAATCTGGGATTACGGCCTATACTATATTATCACCCTATTTGAGGGTCTTGTGTGTGAAATACTTGTTGTATATCTATTAGATGCCTGCCACACCAGCACTTTATAGCCCTATAGAGTGCTGACCCCTTCGGGGGCGTCCCACCACCATTTTTCGGGTTGAGGCTAGAGCTTGCTTCCTGTGCTCGTTGCTCGAGAGATCATATAGGAGGGAAGACTTGGTTCGTGCTTCCTCCATTCTGTTTTTAAACCTTTCTAAACATGCTCATGGATATTTTACTATGGAGCCTGCGTGCTCATGAAATGCCTTGTGTGGCCCTTTTGTTTTAAACAATGTTTCCGCTGCGTTATGAATTACTTATTATGTTTGTTTATGGATGTATATGTGTGAATGATATTCAAGACGCCTTGTATAATATGAATGTGTTGGACTGCGGTTGACTATTCGTATTGTACGGCGGGTTGTTGACGTGTCCGGATAGGTCCGGGGCGTGACAATTAAGTTGGTATCAGAGCCAGGTTCCATAAACTTCATAATGAAGTCTCAAAATTCTCTTTTCAAAATGATTTTTGAAAACCATGAGCAAAAACGTTTTGTACTTAAGAACTTTTGGTGTTTGAGTTGCAAGGTCTCTAATTGTTAAGATGGCGCCCTTAACGATTGGTATGGCGGCGACTTGGCCCAAGAGATGTCTTAAGTACCTATCTGTCAGTTGACATTTGAAACGAGTCTAATGACTCATTCCAATTATTTCTTTCAGTGATGGAGGGTGATTGTGGTACTATGAATAGGGAGAACTCGGAAGGGTTTGCACCGGGTGGAACCGGGCATGCCAACCGAGAAAAGCCCGTAGGAATAAAGGTTCACGAAATTCTAGAAGCTCAAATCGTGAGTGGCGGTCATGTTAGAACCAATGAAGAATCACCTTGTCATAGCAAAATTGAAACACTCAAGGCTTCGGGTGACGAGGGAGATGATTTGAGTGATGAGAACCTTGATGGTGCACCCATTGAACAAATGGGCATGGTCATAGATTGGCTTCAACGTGAACGTGTGAGGCTTATACAAAAACGCCAAGCTAGGCAAGCTGAGGGCATACCATTAGTAAGGAAAAGGAAGCGGGGAGACAACGATTCCCAAAGACATTCAAGGAGGACAAACGTTGAGGGTGACAAAACCTTCAGGGCGCAGACACTATCACTTGAGTGGAGTCGAGGCTTAGGTGGCCCGAACTCGAGGTCAAAAGGTCCGAGGGTACCTAAGTGCAACAATTGCAAGAAACACCACTCGGGTAAGTGTCAGGACCCTCCCAGGTGCTATCAATGCACAGAGGTCGGGTGTCACGCCCCGGACCTCCCCGGACACGTCAACAACCCGCCGTACAATACGAATAGTCAACCGCAGTCCAACACATTCATATTATACAAGGCGTCATGAATATCATTCACACATAAGTCATCCATAAACATACATAATAAACAATTGAATACGCAGCGGAAAACATTGTTTAAAACAAAAGGGCCACACAGGGCAAACATGAGCACGCAGGCTCTAAAGTAAAATATCCATGAGCAAGTTTAATATTATTTAAAAACGGAATGGAGGAAGCACGAACCAAGTCTTCTCTCCAAGGAATCACTCGATCAACGAGCACAGGAAGCAAGCTCTAGCCTCAACCTGAAATGGTGGTGGGACGCCCCCGAAGGGGTCAGTACTCTATACGGCTATAAAGTACTGGTGTGGCAGGCATCTAATAGATATACAACAAGTATTTCAAACACAAGACCCTCAAGTAGGGTGATAGTACATTATGATTGTAACCCTAAGTTACCCCGTTTAAAAATATACTTACTTTATATAAAAGTCAAGTAGTCGGCCCGTGGGCCCGTTTTCATTTGGAAATCACCATTCCCAACCCCGTGGCTATAAGCCACGACAACTCCTAGAGTCCAACCCTAGTACATGACATTGTATTCTAGAGCTCGGCTCTACCACATCACCATACAATTCATATACCTCGGGTCAATTTCCTTACCTTGCGTTCTAGAGCTCGGCTCTACCACATCACCACGCAAGTCCTAGAGCTCGGCTCTAGCTATACAATACATAGACTCCAAGTCTACCCTTACATGCATTCTAGAGCTCGGCTCTATCACATCACCATGCATTAAGGTCCAATTCTCAAGCAACCCTATGCCTAGAATTGACATATCATTAAACTACCATGGGTCATCCTTAAAGACTTCCCATAACTTAACCTTAGTTCCATACTAAGTTATTATATACACTTGAACTATATTCAAGCACCTTTCATACAATCCAATCCCTAGGATCAATTTAATCAATAAATCCCAATAATCATTAACTAGTATTTCAATACTATTAAGATTATTGTTATCAAACCATTATCCTTGTTATTTGTAATTCTCTACATATTTATAATTATGTCGCAGCAACTTAAACATTCATTCTCAATACACAAATATTCATTTATGTATCCACATAATTCATTCATGAGAAAAATGCCCATTTTCACAAATAGTTCATTTATACTCATTTAATCTCATATTATTCATACCTTCTCAAATCATTTCAAATTTCATTCTTTGGCAACTATATCAATATTTCATCAATATATAGCCATCATAATCCATGAAAAATCATGATTTAAGCATTTAGGTAATCTCATGCTTAACCTACAAGTTGTAAGCAATTAGATGTCAATCCTCACCTCAATTGAGCTTTAAACTTTCCCTTCTTGGTCCAATGGTCAAAGCTTTGGTCAAGGTGGATTTGGAACTGATTCCTTGCTCAAATATGAGTGTTAAACAGCCTCCTCAAAGTGCTAGTTCAACCCTTAATCGTTGATACGAAAACAGCCCCTAGAACGGGTGTTTCCCGGTCAACTCGTTTCCTAGTTTTTCCAAGATTTGTTCTAGGTTAGTATCTAACCTTTACATCAATAAAATAACTTTATAAGGACATATTATACACTTGGATTAGTGTATGATAGTCCCACCAATCGTTCATATCATTTGGAAAATGAAAAGTAAAGTTTTGGGGTTAAAACTCACTTTTAGAAGATTAAATCCTCTCCTGCGAGGTTGTGTTTTGCTCGGACGATTTGGAAGCCTTCCACAACTCCGATTCCTGCAAACCAGACCTTCACGGATTCCTCGTCTTGAGAGCTTTCTGTGGGTATCTCACACGCCTTAATTGGATTTGTAAAACTCGAGATATCGACCAAACAGTCTCAGCACTCTCACAGCTCGAGTTCACAGACCTCTGCTCGTTCCAGCTCGATTTTTGTAAGATAAGCCTTCTCTCCTCGAACAAAGACCACTCAATTGAGATAATAGACTTCAAAGGCTATCCAAGGACATATTATTCACGTTGTTTGGTCGAGTATAGCTTCTATAATGAGAGGAGACAAACAGCACCCAATTTGTGCGAAAATAAGGATGGTGGCCCAAGCTTTGATTCCTATCAAGTCATGTGCAGCTCCCCTCCATTATGGCCGGCCAAGGTAGGTCTTCTAACCCATTTTTATTTGTTTTGCAGGTACTAATATCATGTGGAGTGGTTCCCAATTGATCCCATTAAATTTGGGGTCCAAAATATCTACCAATACTTCCAAAAATGGGAAGATGGGTCCTATTGTTTTATCTTTGTCAAAGATGTCTTTTTGTACTCATCCTAATTTATTTAGAACAAGTCAACTTCCTAAATCACATTATTGATCTCCAATATGTGTAGGCTCATCCCAATAATTTACTTGATGGATATTTTAGAAGGAAAATCCTACTCCCATTATTTAGCTCAATAATGCCAAAGATGGGGTTATAGACATTTGTATTCTCCTTTAATCATTCTTTCACTATTTAGGTAATGTTGGGCTTTCTTATTTATTAATAAGTCCCGAGTAAGTATTTGCGAAACCCGACACTAATGTACGAGTTTGAACAATACGATATTCAACCATGCACTACGTAGAACATTGATCGTTTTACAAAATGTTTGGGAATCGGAAATCCAATACATAAGCTATGAATATTCAAATCAAATTTCCAAGGACATTCGGGTGCGGTGTCACAAGTTCACCCCCCCTTAACAGGAATTTCGTCCCCGAAATTCACAGCTCTACTCGAATAGGAAAGCATACTGCTTCCTCATCAAAGCCTCTGTTTCCCATGTCTCTTCTTCGACCTGATCGCTCTTCCACAGGACTTTAACCATTGGGACTTCCTTGCTCCTCAGTTTCTTCACCTTTCTATCGGTGACCTTGATAGGTTGAACAGAGTAGTTCAAATCCTCACGTACCTCTACAGGTGGCTTCTCCAATACGTGAGAGGGATCATGCACATACTTCTTAAGCATGGATACGTGAAACACATTATGTATCTTCTCTAACTCATGAGTCAACTGTAGACGATATGCAACGGCCCCAATCCTCTCTATAATTCTGAATGGACCTATGTACCGTGGGTTAAGCTTCCCTCGGGTTTGAAATCGAATGATTCCTTTCCAAGGAGAAACTTTCAAGAATACCTCGTCGTCAACCTTAAACTCTAAGGTCCTTCGACGCTTATCCGCATAACTCTTTTGCCTGTCCTGAGCCGCCTTGAGTCTCTCTCGAATCAACTTCACCTTTGACTTGGTGACCTCAACCAACTCAGTACCCTCGAGTTTGGCCATGCCAACCTCATCCCAGCATAACGGTGTACGGCATCTCCTCCCATACAATGCCTCGTATGGAGGCATGCCGATGCTTGCCTGATAACTGTTGTTATAGGCAAACTCCACAAGTGCTAAGTGGTTGTCCCAACTTCCTTGGAACTCTAATGCACAAGCCCTCAGCATGTCTTCTAAGATCTGTATGACTCTTTCAGACTGCCCGTCCGTCTGTGGGTGGAAAGCAGTACTGAACTTCAACCTCGTTCCCATAGACTCCTGAAATTTCGGCCAAAAACGTGATGTGAATCGTGGGTCTCTATCGGATACAATGGTCACTGGAACCCCATGTAGCCTCACGATCTCATCCGTGTACAATTTGGCTAACCTCTCGAGTGGGTAAGTAGTGTTGATAGGTAAGAAGTGTGCACTCTTTGTGAGCCTATCTACAACAACCCAAACTGCATCATAGTTCCTGATCGTCCGTGGCAACCCTACCACAAAATCCATAGTCACGTGTTCCCACTTCCATTCAGGAATGGAAAGTGGTTGCAATAAGCCCGCTGGATGCTGATGCTCTGCCTTAACTTGTTGACAAGTAAGGCATCGACTGATATATTCGGCTATTTCTCTCTTCATACCTGACCACCAGTAACTCTCCTTCAGGTCACGGTACATCTTCGTGCCCCCCGGGTGCATGGCATAAGCCGATGAATGAGCTTCCTCTAAGATGGACTTTCGGAGCTCGTCATCTGCCGGTACACACACTCGGTCACGAAATAATAAGAGACCGTCATCTCTTTCTCGGAAGTCCTCCACCGGTCCCGCTTGCATGCGTTCCCGGATCTTCATAATTTCTTCGTCGGTTTCCTGACCCTTCTTGATCTCATCAAGTAAAGTAGGTCTCACCTCAAATCGTGCCAATAAGGCACCATCGCTGGATACCTCCAGTTGGGCTCTTAATGCCCTCAAATTAGCTAGCAATGGCCCAGACGAGCTTTTCCGGCTCAAAGCATCTGCCACCACGTTAGCCTTGCCTGGGTGATACTCTATCACCAGATGGTAGTCTTTTATCAACTCCATCCACCGTCTCTGTCTCATGTTTAGTTCTTTCTGAGTAAACACGTATTTCAAGCTCTTATGATCGGTATATATGTGACATGTCTCTCCGTAGAGATAATGTCTCCAAATCTTCAGTGCAAACACCACCGCTCCCAGCTCCAAATCATGGGTAGGATAATTTACCTCATGCTTCTTCAACTGTCGTGAAGCATAGGCAATTACCCTCCCTTCCTGCATCAGCACACACCCAAACCCTTGGATGCTCGCGTCACTATAGACATCGTACCCCACACCCTGTTTGGGTAATGCAAGTACCGGTGCCTCGGTCAACCGTTTCTTTAGTTCCATGAACCCCTTCTCACATTTGTCATCCCATACAAACTTAGCTCCTTTACGAGTGAGCTTCGTCAATGGTGATGCCAAAACAGAGAACTTCTCCACGAACTTCCTGTAGTAGCCTGCCAATCCAAGGAAACTACGAATTTCCTTAACGTTCTTTGGCCTCTCCCATTCGGTAATGGCTTCTATCTTCTTGTTATCAACAGCAATTCCCGATCCAGAAACCACGTGCCCGAGAAAGCCAATCTCCTTAAGCCAAAATTCACATTTAGAAAATTTGGCATAGAGTTGCTTCTCCCGTAGTGTCTCAAGAACAAGTATCAAGTGTTCCTCATGCTCTTCCTCACTCTTTGAGTAGATCAAGATGTCATCAATGAACACAATCACGAATCGGTCCAAGTATTTGTGAAATACTCGGTTCATTAAGTCCATGAATGCCGCCGGGGCGTTTGTTAACCCAAACGACATAACAAGGAACTCAAAATGCCCATATCTCGTGCGGAAAGCACTCTTCGGTATGTCATCCTCCTTAATCTTCAATTGATGGTACCCCGACCTCAAGTCAATCTTTGAAAACACGGTTGCTCCTCGTAGTTGATCAAACAAGTCATCAATCCTAGGCAAGGGATACCTATTCTTGATTGTGACCTTGTTCAGTTGACGATAGTCAATGCACATTCGAAGTGTTCCATCCTTCTTTTTCACAAAAAGGACCGGTGCTCCCCATGGGGAGTGGCTTGGTCTGATGAAACCGTTATCCAAAAGCTCTTGCAATTGGGTTTTTAACTCGTTAAGTTCAGCGGGTGCCATACGGTATGGCGGTATGGAGATTGGTTTGGTGCCGGGCTCGACCTCGATCACGAACTCAATCTCCCTATCGGGTGGAAGTCCCGGTAAGTCTTTAGGAAAGACGTCCGGATACTTGCATACTACCCTAACATCATCAATACTCGTCTCTTCTTTGGTTTTGTCCACTACATATGCTAGATATGCATGACACCCCTTCCTCATCATATTCTTAGCCCTCACAGCGGATATGATGCAACTATTGGATTTTGCCCTATCCCCCTTGAAGCGTAAGGTTACCCCTTCATTGCCTTCGAGTTCAAGTACTTTCGTGTAACAATCGACCCTAGCATGATGCTTCTCAAGCCAATCCATACCCAGGATTGCATCGAACTCAATCATACTCAGCGGCACGAAATCACACGACAAGTTTTGGCCCTCCACTTCCACCTCACACGATGGATAGTGGCTGTCTCTCTCGATGTCTTCCCCTAGAGGTGTGGATACCAATAGGGCTTGAGCCATCGGTATCAGGGGTACGTTGAATCCCCCGGCGAATGCCTCACTCACAAATGATCGTTGCGCCCCAGTATCGATGAGGATTCTCGCACATCTCCCATTAATCTTTAATGTTCCTACATTTATACACCATGTGAGATACATTTTCTAATGTTTTTGCACACCTTAGGAGGTTATTAAGTAAATACTAAGGTTTGGAATCAATCGGGGGTCCAAACGTAAAAGAACGGAGCGAAAAAATTCGATTTTCGGGTTCTGGGGCCCACGCACGGCGTGCCTGGGTGGCACGCACGACCGTGCGTGCAACGAACTTACCCTGCGTGCCACTGCCGGCCAGGCACGATGCCAGGCACGGCGTGCCTACGGCCGTGCCTGGCCAAAAAATACTTCGGACGCCACTGCCTTCCAGGCACGACGCCAGGCACGGCGTGCCTGCGGCCGTGCCTGGCCCAAATTTTTTTTTTTTCTTTCCTTCGGGTGCCACTGCCTTCCAGGCACGATGCCAGGCACGGCGTGCCTGCGGGCGTGCCTGGCCAGCAGTGGCTGTTTCCAGCCCGATTCGGCCTAACTCACCCAGTTTGACCCCGGGGTGGCCCGTACTCAATCCCAACGACGTATATGATCAAAATAAGCCTAGAAATGACCCGAATAAGTGTATTACCTGCGACGGAGTCGGGATTAGCCCGAGCATCAGCCTCGGTCATTGCGTAGACTCTAGCTTGCGTCCTTCCTTGATTCACGGACGGTGCGTTACTCGCGCTTGCTCCCCCTTGCCCCCTGGTTACTTGGGAACCCCCGGCTTGGTTTCTACTTCCCGCAGCCCCGCTACTTGGTCCCGATGTCCTTGCCCCACCCAACTGGGGGCAATGCGCCTTCAAGTGTCCGGCATCCCCACATTGGAAACATCTAGGGGGGTCGCGACACTTACCGGAGTGATTCTTCTTGCAATTGTTGCAACGAGTTATCACCGAGGTTTGTGACCTCGAGCCTTGCCCACTCGGGCCTTGGTTCCCCCTAGACGGTGGCGGCGGTGCCCGGAAGGACCCTCCTCCATGGTTCCCCTTCTTGTTGGAACCTTGGGAGCCATGACTCTCCCACTTTCTCTTTTTCGCCTCCTCGGCGTTCCTTCGTTTTCTTTCCTCCCACTCCTTCTCCCCCTTCAGGCCTTGTTCGACCACTTGACTAAACGTCATATTAGGCAATTGTGTTTCCCTCTCGCGTATGTCAAGGTCCAAGGCATCCCAGAAATGATTCACCATACGGTTTTCATCACATATGTACTCCGGTATGAATTCCGCGAGTTCCCTGAATTTGTGTTCAAGTTGCCTCACCGTCATCGTGCCACCTTGGGTTAGGAGGGTATACTCTCTCCTCTTATTGTTCACCTCAAAATCTGAATAGTATTGGGCAAAGAACTCCTGTCGGAAATCCTCCCAAGTCACGGTATTGCCATACTTTCCCTTGGCTCCGTCCCACCATGTGGATGCCATCCCTTCAAGCAACCTCACCGCCACCCTTAGCTTAAACTCGGGGGTGAGTTGCATATCAAGGGCTGCTTCGTTCAACCTCTTGATCCATTCCGCGGCGATCGAGATGTCACCCGCTCCATTGAAGGGTTTGCACCCCAAGTCTCGTGCCTCCTTGAGGTATTTGGAGATCCTTATGATCGGACCCCCATCACCCCGGCCCCCATGTGGTTCAATGTGGGCCCTAGAGTCGCCATGGCTTCTTCCTCTTGAAGCCCCACCCGAAGTTCGCCCTCCTCGGCGCCTTCGGCGTTCCCTCCTTTCCTCGCGCTCCCGCTGGTATTGCTGGAGCAGCGCCTCAATTCTGACTAGGGGGTCATTCTCCCCTTCTTCATCACTTATATCATCGTCATCCCCTTCGTAAGGGGTCTCAACCGGCTCGGTCTCCGGTTGGTAAGTCGAGTCCTCATAGGACCAGTAGGTTTCACTTTCTGTGTCAACATGACCGTCACTCACGGTCTGTGATCGGCCTCCACGGCCAGCTCCTCTAGATGCCCTAGAGGTCCTTCGACTGCCCTGTCCAGTCTCCACTGGTACACGGCCCATCGGGTTTCTCCTAGTAATCCTGCCACCACGGTCCATTTCTGAAAGAAATTTGGAAAGAGTCATTAGACTCGTATCAAATGTCAATTGACGGATAGGTACTTAAGACACACTTGGCTCGAGTCACCGCCATACCAATTGCTAAGGGTACCATCTTAACAATTAGAGACCTTGCAACCCAAGTACCAAAAGCTCTCCAAGTACAAAACTTCTATGCTCATGGTTTTCAAAATCTTTTCAAAAAGAGAATTTTGAGACTTCATTATGAAGTTTATGGACTAAGGCTCTGATACCAACTTAATTGTCACGCCCCGGACCTCCCCGGACACGTCAACAACCCGCCGTACAATACGAATAGTCAACCGCAGTCCAACACATTCATATTATACAAGGCGTCATGAATATCATTCACACATAAGTCATCCATAAACATACATAATAAACAATTGAATACGCAGCGGAAAACATTGTTTAAAACAAAAGGGCCACACAGGGCAAACATGAGCACGCAGGCTCTAAAGTAAAATATCCATGAGCAAGTTTAATATTATTTAAAAACGGAATGGAGGAAGCACGAACCAAGTCTTCTCTCCAAGGAATCACTCGATCAACGAGCACAGGAAGCAAGCTCTAGCCTCAACCTGAAATGGTGGTGGGACGCCCCCGAAGGGGTCAGTACTCTATACGGCTATAAAGTACTGGTGTGGCAGGCATCTAATAGATATACAACAAGTATTTCAAACACAAGACCCTCAAGTAGGGTGATAGTACATTATGATTGTAACCCTAAGTTACCCCGTTTAAAAATATACTTACTTTATATAAAAGTCAAGTAGTCGGCCCGTGGGCCCGTTTTCATTTGGAAATCACCATTCCCAACCCCGTGGCTATAAGCCACGACAACTCCTAGAGTCCAACCCTAGTACATGACATTGTATTCTAGAGCTCGGCTCTACCACATCACCATACAATTCATATACCTCGGGTCAATTTCCTTACCTTGCGTTCTAGAGCTCGGCTCTACCACATCACCACGCAAGTCCTAGAGCTCGGCTCTAGCTATACAATACATAGACTCCAAGTCTACCCTTACATGCATTCTAGAGCTCGGCTCTATCACATCACCATGCATTAAGGTCCAATTCTCAAGCAACCCTATGCCTAGAATTGACATATCATTAAACTACCATGGGTCATCCTTAAAGACTTCCCATAACTTAACCTTAGTTCCATACTAAGTTATTATATACACTTGAACTATATTCAAGCACCTTTCATACAATCCAATCCCTAGGATCAATTTAATCAATAAATCCCAATAATCATTAACTAGTATTTCAATACTATTAAGATTATTGTTATCAAACCATTATCCTTGTTATTTGTAATTCTCTACATATTTATAATTATGTCGCAGCAACTTAAACATTCATTCTCAATACACAAATATTCATTTATGTATCCACATAATTCATTCATGAGAAAAATGCCCATTTTCACAAATAGTTCATTTATACTCATTTAATCTCATATTATTCATACCTTCTCAAATCATTTCAAATTTCATTCTTTGGCAACTATATCAATATTTCATCAATATATAGCCATCATAATCCATGAAAAATCATGATTTAAGCATTTAGGTAATCTCATGCTTAACCTACAAGTTGTAAGCAATTAGATGTCAATCCTCACCTCAATTGAGCTTTAAACTTTCCCTTCTTGGTCCAATGGTCAAAGCTTTGGTCAAGGTGGATTTGGAACTGATTCCTTGCTCAAATATGAGTGTTAAACAGCCTCCTCAAAGTGCTAGTTCAACCCTTAATCGTTGATACGAAAACAGCCCCTAGAACGGGTGTTTCCCGGTCAACTCGTTTCCTAGTTTTTCCAAGATTTGTTCTAGGTTAGTATCTAACCTTTACATCAATAAAATAACTTTATAAGGACATATTATACACTTGGATTAGTGTATGATAGTCCCACCAATCGTTCATATCATTTGGAAAATGAAAAGTAAAGTTTTGGGGTTAAAACTCACTTTTAGAAGATTAAATCCTCTCCTGCGAGGTTGTGTTTTGCTCGGACGATTTGGAAGCCTTCCACAACTCCGATTCCTGCAAACCAGACCTTCACGGATTCCTCGTCTTGAGAGCTTTCTGTGGGTATCTCACACGCCTTAATTGGATTTGTAAAACTCGAGATATCGACCAAACAGTCTCAGCACTCTCACAGCTCGAGTTCACAGACCTCTGCTCGTTCCAGCTCGATTTTTGTAAGATAAGCCTTCTCTCCTCGAACAAAGACCACTCAATTGAGATAATAGACTTCAAAGGCTATCCAAGGACATATTATTCACGTTGTTTGGTCGAGTATAGCTTCTATAATGAGAGGAGACAAACAGCACCCAATTTGTGCGAAAATAAGGATGGTGGCCCAAGCTTTGATTCCTATCAAGTCATGTGCAGCTCCCCTCCATTATGGCCGGCCAAGGTAGGTCTTCTAACCCATTTTTATTTGTTTTGCAGGTACTAATATCATGTGGAGTGGTTCCCAATTGATCCCATTAAATTTGGGGTCCAAAATATCTACCAATACTTCCAAAAATGGGAAGATGGGTCCTATTGTTTTATCTTTGTCAAAGATGTCTTTTTGTACTCATCCTAATTTATTTAGAACAAGTCAACTTCCTAAATCACATTATTGATCTCCAATATGTGTAGGCTCATCCCAATAATTTACTTGATGGATATTTTAGAAGGAAAATCCTACTCCCATTATTTAGCTCAATAATGCCAAAGATGGGGTTATAGACATTTGTATTCTCCTTTAATCATTCTTTCACTATTTAGGTAATGTTGGGCTTTCTTATTTATTAATAAGTCCCGAGTAAGTATTTGCGAAACCCGACACTAATGTACGAGTTTGAACAATACGATATTCAACCATGCACTACGTAGAACATTGATCGTTTTACAAAATGTTTGGGAATCGGAAATCCAATACATAAGCTATGAATATTCAAATCAAATTTCCAAGGACATTCGGGTGCGGTGTCACATCGGGCACACGAGAGTGAGTTGCCCACAAATTGTGCAAAACCAAACTTCGGGGTCAAGTGGTGGAACTACAAGAAATGAAAACCAAACCGAGGTTTCTCAAGGGAGCAGGGGACATGGGGGAGCAAGCACGAGCAACGCGCCATCCGTGAACCAAGGAAGGACCCAAGCTAGGGTCTATGCGATGACGGAGGCAGATGCTCAAGCTAACCTGGATTCCGTTGAAGGTAGTACCTCTTGTATACTTGTTTTTTATCCTTAATTAGTCCATAAATTGAGGTTGCTAGTCGTTGGGATCATTGTACGAAGCTTTGGGGTCAAACGGAGCGAAATCGGGCGAAAGACGGCTGATTTCCGCCAACGCACACCAGGCTGGACCATACGCACGGCCGTGCGTTGTCCGTGCGTTGGTCCGTGCGTTGGTGGCAGTAGCAACCGGGAAGAAATTGCTATACGCACGGCCGTGCGTTGTCCGTGCGTTGGTCCGTGCGTTGGTGGCAGTAGCAACCGGGAAGAAATTGCTATACGCACGGACGTGCGTTGTCCGTGCGTTGGTCCGTGCGTTGGTGGCAGTAGCTCCGTTTTGAGGTTATAAGACACGCACGCCGTGCGTACCTCCTAGGCACGCCGTGCGTACCTCCTGGGCAGCCCAAAGTCGACTTTTTCGCGCCGTATTGCAACGTTAAGACCCGTTCTTGATCCCAAACATGTGTGTGAACATTGTAACCTTCTATAAATGAGTAGGGAGGGTTGGAGAAATGTCTTACATGGTTCATGAATGTAGGGACACTAAAGATTAATGGGAAGGATGCGCGAATCCTTATCGATACCGGGGCGCAACGTTCATTTGTGAATGAAGCGTTCGCCAAGAGATTGGAAGTGCAATCCGCACTGTTGATGCAAACCTTAGTGGTATCAACACCACTAGGGGATGACGTGGAAAGAACTTGTTACTATCCATCTTGTGGGGTGGAAGTTAAGGGTCAAACCTTGACGTGTGACTTCGTACCGCTGAGCATGATTGAATTCGATGCAATCCTAGGGATGGATTGGCTAGAAAGGAACCATGCTAGGGTAGATTGCTACACGAAGGTTCTTGAACTTGAAGGCAATGATGGGGAGACCCTACGCTTCGAGGGCGATCGAGGGAGATCAAATAGCTGTATCATATCCGCCGTGAGAGCGAGAAGTATGATGAGAAAGGGATGCCACGCATATCTAGCATACGTGGTTGACAAAACCAAAGAAGAAACGAACATCGATGATGTGAGGGTGGTTTGTAAGTATCCGGGTGTCTTCCCTAAAGACCTACCGGGGCTTCCACCTGATAGAGAGATTGAATTTGTGATCGAGGTCGAGCCCGGCACCAAACCAATCTCCATACCGCCATACCGTATGGCACCCGCTGAACTTAACGAGTTGAAAACCCAATTGCAAGAGCTTTTGGATAATGGTTTCATTAGACCAAGCCACTCCCCGTGGGGAGCACCGGTTCTTTTTGTGAAAAAGAAAGATGGGACACTTCGAATGTGCATTGACTATCGTCAACTGAACAAGGTCACAATCAAGAATAGGTATCCTTTGCCTAGGATTGATGACTTGTTTGATCAACTACGAGGAGCAACCGTGTTTTCGAAGATTGACTTGAGGTCGGGGTACCATCAATTGAAGATTAAGGAAGATGACATACCAAAGAGTGCTTTCCGCACAAGGTATGGGCATTTTGAGTTCCTTGTTATGTCGTTTGGGTTAACAAACGCCCCAACGGCATTCATGGACTTGATGAACCGAGTATTCCATAAATACTTGGATCGATTCGTGATTGTGTTCATAGATGACATCTTGATTTACTCAAAGAGTGAAGAAGAGCACGAGGAGCACTTGATACTTGTTCTAGAGACACTATGGGAGAAGCAACTTTATGCCAAATTTTCTAAATGTGAATTTTGGCTAAAGGAAATTGGCTTTCTCGGGCATGTGGTTTCGGGATCGGGAATTGCGGTTGATAACAAGAAAATAGAAGCCATTACCGAATGGGAGAGGCCAAAGAACGTCAAGGAAATTCGTAGTTTTCTTGGACTGGCAGGCTACTACAGAAAGTTCGTGGAGAAGTTCTCTGTTTTGGCATCACCATTGACGAAGCTCACTCGTAAAGGAGCTAAGTTTGTATGGGATGACAAATGTGAGGAGGGGTTCATGGAACTAAAGAAGCGATTGACCGAGGCACCGGTACTTGCATTACCCAAACAGGGTGTGGGGTACGATGTCTATAGCGATGCGAGCATCCAAGGGCTTGGATGCGTACTGATGCAGAATGGGAGGGTAATCGCCTATGCTTCACGACAGTTGAAGAAACATGAGGTGAATTATCCTACTCATGACTTGGAGCTGGGGGCTGTGGTGTTTGCACTGAAGATATGGAGACATTATCTCTACGGGGAGACATGTCACATATACACTGATCACAAGAGCTTGAAATACGTGTTTACTCAGAAAGAGCTAAACATGAGACAGAGACGGTGGATGGAGTTGATAAAAGACTACCATCTAGTGATAGAGTATCACCCAGGCAAGGCAAACGTGGTGGCAGATGCTTTGAGTCGGAAGAGCTCGTCTGGGGCATTGCTAGCTAATTTGAGGGCATTAAGAGCCCAACTGGAGGTATCCAGCGATGGTGCCTTATTGGCACGATTTGAGGTGAGACCTACTTTACTTGATGAGATCAAGAAGGGTCAAGAGACTGACGCAGAACTTATGAAGGTCCGGGAATGCATGCAAGCGGGACCGGTGGAGGATTTCAGGGAAAGAGATGATGGTCTCTTGTTATTTCGTGACCGAGTGTGTGTGCCGTCAGATGATGAGCTCCGAAAGTCCATCTTAGAGGAGGCTCATTCATCGGCTTATGCCATGCACCCGGGGGGCACGAAAATGTACCGTGATTTGAAAGAAAGTTACTGGTGGTCTGGAATGAAGAGGGAAATAGCCGAGTACATCAGCCGATGCCTTACTTGTCAACAAGTTAAGGCAGAACATCAGCATCCAGCAGGCTTGTTACAACCACTTTCCATTCCTGAGTGGAAGTGGGAACATGTGACTATGGATTTCGTGGTAGGTTTACCACGGACAATTCGGAACTACGATGCGGTTTGGGTTGTTGTGGATAGGCTCACAAAGAGTGCACACTTCTTGCCTATCAACACTACCTACCCACTTGAGAGGTTAGCCAAATTGTATACGGATGAGATCGTGAGGCTGCATGGGGTCCCAGTGACCATTGTATCCGATAGAGACCCACGATTCACATCACGTTTTTGGCCGAAATTTCAAGAGTCTATGGGAACGAGGTTGAAGTTCAGTACTGCTTTCCATCCACAGACGGATGGGCAGTCTGAGAGGGTTATACAGATCTTAGAGGATATGTTGAGGGCTTGTGCGTTAGAGTTCCAAGGAAGTTGGGACAACCACTTAGCACTCGTGGAGTTCGCCTATAACAACAGTTATCAGGCAAGTATCGGCATGCCTCCATACGAAGCATTGTATGGGAGGAGGTGTCGTACGCCGTTATGCTGGGACGAGGTTGGCATGGCCAAACTCGAGGGTACTGAGTTGGTTGATATCACCAAGTCAAAGGTGAAGTTGATTCGAGAGAGACTCAAAGCGGCTCAGGATAGGCAAAAGAGTTATGCAGATAAGCGTCGGAGGACCTTAGAGTTTAAGGTTGATGACGAGGTATTCCTGAAAGTTTCTCCTTGGAAAGGAATCATTCGATTCCAAACCCGAGGAAAGCTTAACCCACGATATATAGGCCCATTCAGAATTATAGAGAGGATTGGGGCCGTAGCATATCGTCTACAGTTGACTCCTGAGTTGGAAAAGATACACAATGTGTTTCATGTATCCATGCTTAAGAAGTATGTGCATGATCCCTCTCACGTATTAGAAAAGCCGCATGTGGAGGTACGTGAGGATTTGAACTACGCTGTGCGACCAATCAAGGTCACCGATAGGAAAGTGAAGAAACTGAGGAGCAAAGAAGTCCCGATGGTTAAAGTCCTTTGGAAGAGCGACCGGGTCGAAGAAGAGACATGGGAAACAGAGGCCTTGATGAGGAAACAGTATGCCTTCCTATTCGAGTAGAGCTGTGAATTTCGGGGACGAAATTCCTGTTAAGGGGTGGTGAACTTGTGACACCGCTCCCGAACGTCCTTGAAAATTCGATTTAAAATTCAAAGTTTATGTATTGAATTTCTGATTCCCAAACAATTGTGAAACGATTGTTGTTTTACGTAATTAATGATTGATTATTATACTGTTCGAACTCGTATATTAGTATCGGGCCTTATTAATAAATAAAAGATCCTAACATTATCTAAATAGTTATACATAACGTTTCAAGACAAGTTGAGGAAGGGCGGGAAGCCCATATATTATTTGGGCCCAACCTGCTAAAGTAGCAAATATTTGAGGACGGCGTCGTAGGCCCACTCGGGGGCGACCCACACGGCTTGTAGCCCAATAATATGAATGACAAATGTCAAGATAAGTGATAGGATGATTAAAGAAGAGTACAAATGCCTATAACCCCATCTTTGGCATTATTGAGCCAAATAATGGGAGTAGGATTTTCCTTCTATATTATCCATCAAGTAAATTATTGAGATGAGCCTACACATATTGGGGATCAATAATGTTATGTAGGAAGTTGACTTGTTCCAAATAAATTAGGATGAGTACAAAAAGACATCTTTGACAAAAGATAAAACAATAGGACCCATTCTTCCATTTTTGGGTGTATTGATAGATATTTTGGATCCCAAATTAATTGGGATCAATGGGGAACCACTCCACATGATATTAGTACCTGCAAGACAAGGAAAATATGTGAGAAGACTCACCTTGGCCGCACCACATGGAGAAGCACTGCCCATGACACAATTGGAATCAAATTTTGGGGCCACCACCACTGTTTTCGCACAAACAGGTGTGCTGTTTTGTCTCCCTTCATTTTGAGAGTTGTACTCGTCCAAATGAGGTGTATAAGGTGTCCTTGGATAGACTTTGAAGTCTATTTTCATAATTGAGTGGTCTCTGTTCGAGAGGAGAGAGTAGTCATCCAAAAATCGATCTGAAGCGAGCAGTGGTCTGTGAACTCGAGCTGTGAGAGTGCTGAGACTGTTTGGTTGATATCTCGAGTTTTACCAATCCAATTAAGGAGTGTGAGATACCAAAAGAAAGCTCTCAAGACGAGGAATCCGTGAAGGTCTGGTTTGCATCAATCGGAGTAGAGGAAGGCTTCCAAATCGTCCGAGCAGAACGCGACCTCGCAGGGACGGATTTACTCTTCTAAGTGAGTTTTTAATCCCAAAACCTTTCCATTCATTTTCCAAATGATATGAACGATTGGTGGGACTATTATACACTACTCCAAGTGTATAAAACATCCCTATTAAGTTATTTTATTGATGTAAAGGTTAGATACTAACCTAGATGCAAATATTGGAAAACTAGGAATCGAGTTAGCCGGAAAACACCCGTTCTAGGGGCTGTTTTCGTATCAACGATTAGGAGTTGAAATAGCAACTTGAGGAAGCTGTTTAACACCCATTTTCAAGCAAGGAACCAGCTCTCAATATTCCTTGGCCGAGGCTTTGGTCATTGGATCGAGAAGGAAGGTTTTAAAGCTCATTTGAGGTGAGGACCGACATCTAGTTGCTTACAACTTGTAGGTTATGCATGAGATTACCTAAATGCTTAAATCATGTTTTTGTGAATAAATATGCTTGAACATGATATGAATGATAAGTAATGGACTTGATCATAAATTGAAACCATATTGATGAATATGGAGTCATGTGAGATAAAAGTATGCTAAAATGGTAAATTGACCTTCCAACTCATGTATGAATGTTATGTGTATGTAAATGTATGATTGCATGATGATGCTTAGCACATGGGAGGCTGCCACATATCTATTGATATGGAGGGGCTACCATTAATGATAAATGAGTTGTAGGAATAATCTTAATAGTATTGTGATGCTAGTTAAGGATTGTTCTAAATGTTGATAGAACCAAACTTAAAGGTTGAGTTTGTTTGTGATGAACTTGAATGAGATTCAAGTGTCAATTGGGAAATCATGGAGTAGGAGATCTATGGTGTGGTTTTATGAAGTAGGAGATCTATGGTGTGGTTTTATGAAGTAGGAGATCTATGGTGTGGTTTTATGAAGTAGGAGATCTATGGTGTGATTATATGAAGTAGGAGATCTATGATGCGAGTGCATGATGATGTACTCGAGCCTAACTCTAGAAATGAGAAGTTATATTAGGGTTGGACCCTATGTATTGTCGTGACTATTAGTCACGGGGTTTGGGAAATGTTTTATAACAAACACGGGCCTTTGAGCCGACTACTTGACTTTATATAAAGTAAGTATGTATTTTGAAAGGGGTAATCTGGGATTACGGCCTATACTATATTATCACCCTATTTGAGGGTCTTGTGTGTGAAATACTTGTTGTATATCTATTAGATGCCTGCCACACCAGCACTTTATAGCCCTATAGAGTGCTGACCCCTTCGGGGGCGTCCCACCACCATTTTTCAGGTTGAGGCTAGAGCTTGCTTCCTGTGCTTGTTGCTCGAGAGATCATATAGGAGGGAAGACTTGGTTCGTGCTTCCTCCATTCTGTTTTTAAACCTTTCTAAACATGCTCATGGATATTTTACTATGGAGCCTGCGTGCTCATGAAATGCCTTGTGTGGCCCTTTTGTTTTAAACAATGTTTCCGCTGCGTTATGAATTACTTATTATGTTTGTTTATGGATGTATATGTGTGAATGATATTCAAGACGCCTTGTATAATATGAATGTGTTGGACTGCGGTTGACTATTCGTATTGTACGGCGGGTTGTTGACGTGTCCGGATAGGTCCGGGGCGTGACAAAATGGCTCTCCTTGGGCTTTGATTGGTATCTGGCGCAGATTCCTACAGCAAAAGCAATGTCTGGTCTGCTTGCAGTCAGATAGAGAAGAGATCCAATGATTCCTCTATAAGTTGTTGCATCAACATCTTTGCCTTCATCATCTGGTCCAATTCCCTGAGAAGCATTCATGGGAATCTTGACTGAGGATTTCCCATCTATTCCAAACTTCTTGATTAGGTCTCTGGTGTACTTCCCTTGATTGATAAAGATTCCTTCAGGAACTTGTTTGACTTGCAGTCCAAGGAAATAACTCAGTTCACCCATCATGCTCATTTCAAACTTCTTCTGCATAACTTGAGAGAATTTCTTGCATAATTCTGGATTAGTGCTTCCAAATATAATATCATCAACATAGATTTGCACTAACAGGATATGATCACCAACAGAAATTTTAAATAAAGTTTTGTCAACCTTTCCTTTAGTGAACCCATGATTCACTAAGAATAGGGACAAGGTGTCATACCAAGCTCTGGGAGCTTGCTTAAGACCATAAAGTGCCTTTCTAAGCTTGTAGACACAAGAGGATTGAGTAGGAATGACAAAACCTGGAGGTTGTTCAACATAGACTTCCTCTTCAAGTTCTCCATTCAGAAATGCACTCTTGACATCCATCTGGTAGACCTTGAAGTTGTTGTAGGTAGCATAGGCTAGAAAGATTCTGATTGCTTCCAGTCTTGCAACAGGTGCAAAGGTCTCATCAAAATCTATGCCTTCCTCTTGACAGTATCCCTTTGCTACAAGCCTTGCTTTATTCCTTACAATGTTGCCTTCTTCATCTGCTTTGTTCTTGAATACCCACTTGGTTCCAATGACATTCTGATGCTTGGGTCTAGGAACAAGTTCCCACACTTGGTTCCTTTCAAACTGTGTCAGCTCTTCTTGCATTGCATTGATCCAATCTGAATCTTCTAGAGCTTCTTCTACATTCATTGGTTCCATTTGAGAAATACAGCAAGTGAACATGGCTTCTCTTCTAGATGCCAATCTGGTTCTGACTCCACTAGTAACTTA